GTGGATTATCCAAATGAGTATCTTACATATGTGGAAGGAACTTATAGCTTTTGTGGTGATATCAACTCTCTAACTTTCAAAACATCAAAGGGGAGAATCTCCCCTGTATTTGGAAAAGTGTCCGGTACGAAATTTGTCCTTGAGATGAAAGATCACATGCTTGTCGGATTCCGTGGACGGAACGGTGTTCTTCTCAATGGTCTCGTAGCACTCGGAGCACATTTTGCACCATTTCCAGCACCAAGTGCGCCAGCTCCTGCCCCAGTTACGCCATGTCCCTGTCCCGTGCCAGTTGCGCCAGCTCCCGTGCCGGTTCCAGCTAAGAAAGTAGAAGCAAAAGGCGGAAATGGAGGAGCCGCGTGGGACGATGGTGCTTTCGATGATGTAAGGAAGGTATATGTAGGACAAGGTGGCTCCGGTGTGTCCTTTGTCAAGTTTGAGTATGATAGTAGCAAGAAGGTTGTAGCTGGAGATGGTCATGGGAAGAAGTCACTTCTTGGAACAGAGGAGGTTTTGTGATCTGTTCTTTAATTTACCAACTAACGTTTTCTTGATACATTCCATTTTTAATAATCTCTTTTGTTCCATTTTCTTTGCAGTTTGAGCTCGATTTTCCGAATGAATACATCGTATCGGTGGAGGGATGTTACGAAAAAATATTTGGAATCGAAACCGATGTGGTGACTATGCTTAGGTTTAAGACAAACAAGCGAACATCTCAACCGTTTGGGCTCGAGTCAGGCACAACGTTTGTGTTGGAGATGAAAGATCATAAGATCGTTGGATTCCATGGCAAAGCTGGAGATTTTGTTCATCAGGTTGGTGTCCATGTCTCACCAATCACCAAGCCTTAAAAAGCTTTGAGAGCTTTCTCTTATCTTTATGAAATAAAAGAAAAACTCTATGTGCTAGTTCTTGTTGCTGCTTCTGCTTCTATCTTTTAAGTATGTCTTGTGTTCTTATGTTGTTGGGTGTGTTTAGTGTCTCTTGTGATGAAAGTGGCCTGTCTCTTTGAATAAAGTTTGTTTGTGTTTGGACTAGACAATTTGCAGTCCAATGACTTGTTGTCCTAATCACTAAATCTCATATTAGGTTGAAGGAATACTTCGATGTCTATGTTTCAATTGTGGACTATGATGTTTCTTTACAAAATTTATCTAACTATTCTCCTCAAACCTACGATCAAAACAATAAACAGTAACAC